CACTGCTTGTTCCCAGTTGTTGTGACAAGTCTGAAACAAGTTGTAACAAGGTTGTTGTGAAGCTGATATCAGAATGTGTTCACACTGCTTGTTCCCAGTTGTTGTGACAAGTCTGGAACAAGTTGTAACAAGGTTGTTGTGAAGCCGATATCAGAATGTGTTCGCACTGCTTGTTCCCAGTTGTTGTGACAAGTCTGAATCAAGCTGTTATCACCTTGTTACAAGGTTGATGATGGTAACAGTGTAAGTAAATATAAGTGAATATAAATACATTTCATTGGGCAAGGAGTTTGCAGCGGAAACTCGGAAACAAGGGAGTGCAACTGCTGAATCTTTGCCCATTCATTGTGCAACTAAGCGGTGTAACAATGATTTGACATTCATGAAAGCCTTGCTAGTCTATTATTAAAGGAAATTGCATGAAATTTAAGCCAAAAATGTTTTAAGAACTGAAATTTGCAACGACAAGAAGGTCAGTATATGTGGGCAACCTAAATTCACACGCCAACATTTCGAGTAGGTAAACTTGCAGGTAGGCTGCCCGCATGCAGGCTTGGTATACATTGTGGGTGTGGCGCCTTACGGGTAGACTGCCCACCACGCAGGCTAAGTATAGCATCATTATATGACATTTCCAGCAATTTTAAGTTCAAAAACTTGCTCTCTGCAATTTCTTTGGGAATTAAAAGAAAAATTAATTATTAATTATTAATTATTTTATTATATATAAATGGTCCATTTTATTTTATGATATTTGCTTTTATTTCAAAATACTATACACTATTACACTATATGCATATATTGTTTTTTGTTTGTGTTTGTGTTTGTGTTTGTGTTTGTGTTTGTGTTTGTGTTTGTGTTTGTGTGTTTGTTTAATCTATATTTATTCAGGCTAGCTAGACCCTGAGAATGTGTTAAAAACCAAATTACACTTTGTTCATTATACATAATATAAAATTCTCCTTATGTGTAAGTCAAGTTAAGCCCAAAATATGAGAAAAACTATTTACAATACAGTATATATGCAGGGATTAAAATAATCGTTTTAAAACCAAGTAAATATGACAATTATTTTACAGTCTGAGAAGTTCAATGAAGTCAAGTAGATTTTTGACATCTGGGCTCGGTTGTTCAAAAACTGGTTAACCTAAAATTCAAAGCAAAACTTCTCAAGAACTTGCAAATATTTCTTCAGAAATCTTGTGTGGATCAATAAGAGTTTTCTTATCGAGATTAAACGTGCAGAGATACAGAAACTAAAAACAGCGGATTAACTTTTAATCCAGGGTTAGCGCTAATCCAGCTTTGAAGAACCGACCCTAGAGGTACGGAAACCAAGCTATCGTTTATAAACCACAGTAATCACAGAACTTAACTTCGTAATGACACGTTTATTTAAAGGAATATTATCTTTCTTTCGTACATTTTATTAGAGTATACAAGCGCTGCAGGACCGGTAGGATGTGAGCAGTAATGCTTCGACCAGTACTCTTCGTTTGTTGGTAAATACAAACATTCAACTTCATCATTCTCTGAGTAACTACGAATACAGAATGACCGCCTTGTTCCAAAGGATGATTCATCGTGTTCCATTATTTCTAAATTTGATGTAGCATAGTTAACAGTCACCGCACCAATACCTTTCTTCACAATTATCGTTCGCTTCAACTTCCCCTCTTTCGTGTAAACGAACACCTTCTCACCTTTTCTCATAACTATTTCATTCTGATTAGTGACACTGGCACATCGGAAGAAGTGCCGTGTATCACCACTTGAATATTTCTCAAGTGACAAGGTAGATTTCAAATTGCCGTTGTTGTCGCAGACATAAAGATCAAAGGCATCCGAGAGGTGGATTATAATACCACCATCGTTGTCTATCACACAGTTAATCCGTTTCGCTGTGTCACGTTCAAGGAAGTGCAACACACGTTCGTATTGCCTATTACCATTGGAATCGAAAACCAACAGAACAAACACATACTTCCCACTGGTACGGTCTTTAAAGGTTTTGATTACGAAAACCTTATCGTCACGATCGATGACCAACGCCATTGTTCCATTCTCGTCAGGTTTAAGGTTTGCTGTAGTTGGGATAATTCGACAAAACTTTTTAGTTTCGCCTGATCTGTTTAAAACACGTACACGCGTGCCATAATCCGATAAAGCTAGAAGCTGCCCTTTGCTATTTATACAGAAATTGCAAAAACATTTTCGGCATGAAGTGATTTGATTTTCTGGCGGTTGAAATTCTTCCTTGTCAAAAATTTCCTTCACAACATCAACATCAAGAAGTAGCGGGTGGATCGTCTCTCTGGTAGACAGGTGTATTCTGGGCCAGTTTCTGACTTTAGGTATCTCACCAGAAAACCTCGCAATAAATTCTGATATAGCAAAGTTCAAAGAGAGAACAGATTTCACGTTTTCTAATCGTGAATCTTTGTACAACCTTGACTTTATCCCTCCTTTGAAATATGTGGAAAATGTTTCTCCGATTGCTGGCAGATCATGAAGCTCTTCCAAGAACAACATGCAACCAGCGGCCGCTGCTTTTGTGTCTTGAAGACATTCCAAAATCTTCGAGACGACACGTAGTTTTAGCGCCATGATTCTATCCGGCAAGCTCAAGGCTTCGTTACAGAATGCTCGAGTCGCTTCTTCGAGTGCAGCTTTGAAACGTTCTTTTGCAGAAACAAGTCGAGTATTTGATGTGTCGTTTAGCTTCTGAATGGCGTGTGAGAGAGCGATGGTTTCGTTCAGAACTCCAGACTCGCTTTCGTTTCTTGTGGTTGCTACTGTTGTTTGACTTCCGCCATTTTGGTCACCGTTTGTATCGTCTTTACTTGTCTGTTCGTCTTTTACTTCATCGAGTGCGAGATTGAGTGAAACTACACCCTCTTTCAGAAAGCAATAACTTGCGAGTAAATCTTTTCGCGAGAGTGCATCGATTTTTGCCTTGATATCGTTCAAGTCTTCGTTGATTACATCTCGCAATTTCTCATCTGTGGTATCGCCGTCTTTGAGCTTGTCTGCTGCTGTTGTGCGAGCTTTATTCAACACTAAGCCCAAAGCAGAGCTTATAATACTTGCTATTACAGATAACATACTTGAATAAGCCTCTAGGAACAAAGCTATATTGCGCTTGTCGAACTGTATAGGAACTGCGTTTTGACCACTGAGCTTTGACTATATATACAGGAGTTAAGTAATGGTGTGTATATATACGTGTTAATGAAATTTTCCCAAAAGAATACCCCGAGAAATGGTGTAATATTGTAGCTATGGTATTCCTCTCATAGGATAGGAATATAATATTGAAGAAATCTAACCCATCGAAGCCCACTTGCCAGGCGTCTGGAATCCAGTTTATTGTATTTCAAGTCGTTGAAATTAATTGATCTGTAAAAAATATAAGTTGGACCTCTTTGTAGGGATAACCTAAATATGATATTTACTTTGATCTGTTTACAATGTTGAGCACCAGTTGAGAGTGCAGTCACGCATTGTTAAAGAGGTCAAAGGGGGCATTTCAAGCTTTTAAATTAACAGAATAAAGGTTTGATGAATGTTCCAACCCTGTTTCAATACATGATAGTGTTGAGAAAGCATTAAGAACAGCGAACCAAGGTCGCGCGACTTTCATCCTCGTTTGACCCAGGCTTTAGGATTATGATTTCGTGTTTATTAGGGAGGCATTAACACAAACACCACAGATGGCAGAATATTTGTTAAGTCACTGTACTCCAATGGCCCAGCTGATCTGGATGGATGCATTCAAATTGTGCATAAAATTCTTTCAGTTAGTGTAGTCATTCTTTCAATCGAAGTCAAAATAAGAATTTCAGCTCACTCTCACCCTGCCTAGCAGGCGTTTATTCTCGCAGACTAGCATACTCCTTGTCAGCTTCGTCACAGAATACTATAAGTCCATCTCCATTGTTTTTCGCGTAAGCGCTATTCGTCATGATTCGTCACTCAGCAAGTACCGTAAACAGAAGCAGTCACCCCCTGGAAATATTCAAAATGGCACACGTCCAGGGGGTGACTGCTTCTGTTTACGGTACTTGCTAAGTGACGAATCATGACGAACAGCGCTTACGCAAAAACAATGGAGATGACCTTCTGTGTAGCATTCGATATGGCTTCGTGTTGACAGCGCAGACAAAAACAATAAATAAGGGAAGTCTGGAACTGACGTCCAATATAATACGTAACTCTTCAATTTTCGCCATCTTGGCTTCACATTCCGGACTCGAGTTCTCACTCCAGTTATATATAGAGCTCGCCGTTGCGCACAAGTTCTTACAGATCTTCACACAAGTTGTAACAAGGTTGTTGTGAAGCTGATATCAGAATGTGTTCACACTGCTTGTTCCCAGTTGTTGTGACAAGTCTGGAACAAGTTGTAACAAGGTTGTTGTGAAGCTGATATCAGAATGTGTTCACACTGCTTGTTCCCAGTTGTTGTGACAAGTCTGAAACAAGTTGTAACAAGGTTGTTGTGAAGCTGATATCAGAATGTGTTCACACT